CCTCCAACTCAGTGGTGAGCAAGCCCAGGGGAGGGTGGGGGGAGGAGGCCAGAACAGCAGGACCTGGGCTATAGGGGGAGGGGGCCCAGCAATGAGACTGGGAAGCTTGGCCCGGCCTGAACTCTCATCTGGGTCGGCCCAAGCCATCTCTCAGGGAAGAGTCCTTGGGACCCAGACCCCCGGGGGCCCCGCAGACCCTGGGCTGGGGCATGGTCTTTCTGAACCCAAAGTGGCTCCCAGGGGCTGCGCTGACTAGAGGGGAGCGGGCCTCCTCTCCCCGTTTCCCTGGTGGGACATCATCAGGCCTGGTCAGTCCCAGACCCCCCTCTCCTCTCCCCAGCTGGCCATTACCGATTGGGACAGGGAAGACGATGTTGTCATCGCTGAGGCCCAGGGATTTGACAAAGCGGATGAAGTTCTCCTTCAGCTCAGGGGGCAGCTCCTTGGTCCTTCCTGTGGCCAAGATGGCCGGCGAGTGGCCGGGAGACACTCCATGAATATTGTTGAATGGATGAAGGAGCCTCAGACCCCTTCCTCGTGGGGGGCCTGCGGAAAGCCCTCGTTCCCTGGCCTCCCAGGGACTTGGGGCAGATATAATGCTGGAGGGGGCTTTGGGGGTGGTGGGGATGAGCCCTTCCCTCCCTCGGATGGGACAGCAGCGGGGTCCCCCAGGGTGGCTGAAGACCCACCGTAGAGGGTGATCTTGAAGTACTCCTTGTTTTGGGAAACCTTCTTGAAGAACACCGTGGCGAACTGGTTGTAGTCGGTGTCCACCACTCGCACGGTGTAGCTCTGCAGTGGAGGGTAAGCTGCGGGTGGACAGCGCGGGGTCAGCCCTGGCTGGTTAGACAGAGCAGCTCCCTCCTCCCCCACCCCGCACAGGACGGCCTCTGTGCGGAGGTGCAGGGAGGCCCGTTCCCCTCTGGGAGGACCCCACGCCTGGGACCCCAACCCCAGGGCCCGCATCACTCAGGACTCACCCTTAATGTTGCCCAGGCTGAACTGGCCGGGCTGGGAAGTTTGGACAAAAGTTCTGACAAAGTAGTCACAGCGCTGGTTCCTGTGGGAGTGGGAGAGAGGTGTGGGTGAGGGGAGACGCAGGCTTGGCCCCCTGGGCTGGATGAGGTGGGAGCCAGGGTTGCAGCTGGAGGGGCTGGGATTCCGCAGCCCTGGGTCCAGCCCAGCCCATCCCCACCACAGCAGGAGGCCTGGTCTGTCCCTCTGTGCTCTCCACGCTGCCCTGCCCGGGCCCTGCCTCCAGCACCCACTGTCCTTCCGTCTGCAGGGCTGTCTCCCCTCGGCGGCCTTCCTGTACACAGTCCTCCCCACCCTGGGCCTTTGTCCCCTCCTCTTGTCTTGCTGTTTCCCGCTGTAACCCCTCCTGGGCGATTCATCTCGCCATGTCCTTGGCACTCGAGAGCCGATCTCCCCAAACCCGTCCTTTTATGCCCCTTGTGCCCAAATGCTCCAGCCGCACCCCCCCGCACCCCCCCCTCCAGGTACCAGAGCCAGAAACCCACAGGAGCTGGTGTGCCTGGCACCCCACCATTCCTCTTCCCCCTGCAACCAGAGGGGCCCTGTCTCCTCGCCAGATCCCTTGGGTGGTGCCCACCCCCGCCAGGCTGCTCATGGCGCCCGGTGGCTGCCCGAAGGAGCGGCTGTCTCTTACTCGGAGCCCGCCAGCCCCTGCCGTGAACCCCCTGCCCCTCCTTCCAAGGCAGATGGGTTCCCCCAAGGCCCAGCCAAGATGCCACCTCCCAGGAAGCCCTCAGTGAGGTCCTGGTGGGGTTCCAGGCTGGGCCCAGGGACCCTCCTCCCACTCCGGACTCCCCTGCTCTCTGCCTCGTTTCCCCGAGGACTATCCGTGCGCATCCCTCCTGCTGTCCGTGTGCGCACAGAAGGGACCAGTAAACGCTGACGTAATGAAGGAAGGAAGACACAGGTCTCTGAGTCCAGTGCTGAGGAGAGGATGAGTGACTGCCTGTCAGCTTGGCCGTGACATCAGTCTGTCTCTCAGAGCCCCTCCTCCACGCAGCCCCCAGGTTCCCATGCTCCCGGGAGGTGGGGCTCTCACCTGAGCAGGGTGGAGGTGACATTGTAGCTGCGGTCTTCTTTCAGCTCGTAGTTGGTGGTGTACATCTTAAAGTCTTTGTCTTCCTTTGAAAAGGCATTCCCTGCCAGGCCCACGACGTACCACTTCCCCTGGAACTGCAGGGGGCGGGTGACAGGCCGAGTGGGCCGCAGGGGCCCCGACAGCTCTGTCCCTGAGCCCATCTCTGGGCAGCTGGCTCAGAACCAGGAGCGCCTCTACCAGGGCCGCAGGACTCCTGATGGGGACTGGGGCCTGCACTGGGCCTGCCCTGGGCCTGCACTGGGCCTGCCCTGGGCCTGCACTGGGCCTGCACTGGGCTTGCACTGGGCCTGCACTGGGCCTGCACTGGGCCTGCACTGGGTCTGCACTGGGCCTGCACTGGACCTGCACTGGGCCTGCCCTGGGCCTGCACTGGCCTGCGCTGGGCCTGCATTGGGCCTGCACTGGGCCTGCACTGGGCCTGCCCTGGGCCTGCATTGGGCCTGCACTGGGCCTGCACTGAGCTTGCACTGGGCCTGCTCTGGGCCTGCCCTGGGCCTGCACTGGACCTGCCCTGGGCCTGCACTGGGCCTGCCCTGGGCCTGCACTGGGACTGCACTGGGCTTGCACTGGGCCTGCACTGACAAAGCCAGCAGGAGCTGGAGGCTGTGGCCAGAGGGAGTGTGGAGTCTGGCAGGGATGGAGTGACCCGCGGGCAGTGGACTGAAGATGTCCCCACCTGGCAGAGACTGTGGGGATTATGGGAGAGAATGTGGACCTGGGCAGGTCAGCCGGGCTGGGGTGGGGGTGAGGGTGGGGTGGGAGCATGGTTTCCATCAGGAGGCTTAAGGGCAGGCTGAGCTGAAACCTGGGCCCATCCCATCCTAAATGTTCTCTAAGACTCGGCCTCAACTCCCTTCTGCTCCCACTGTTACGGGGGTCCTCCCCACAGCTGCCCCCCAGGTTCCTTACCTGGTCATCTTGGAAGTTTGGCTGCAGCGGGACCTTGGACAGAGGTGGGGCGGGGATCAGGTTTGGGGTGGAGTCCTGGGCCTGGGTCTGCAGGGCCCCCAGTAGGGTGAGGCCCAGCCACAGGAGGCCGTGGGGCATGGTTGCAGGGCTGAGGCAACTGGGCAGCTGCTGAGCCGGGCAGGTGGTGAAGGAGGAAGAGGCGAGTGAGGAGGCTGGCCTAGGGTCTATTAATGGTCCCTGCTCTCCCGCTCTCCCGGGGCGGAGTGGATGTCCTTTGCCAAATTCAGGAAGGGTGAGGTAACAGCCATTAACTCCTGCGGAACCTTCGGTGAGATTTCTGGCCCTTTCCCCATGGTCAGGATTGTGCAAGGTGGAGGGGCAGGAGGGGCAGGGGGGAACTGGGGGACTTTCCCCAGAGCCCCACACCTCTGCAGGGACAGGGGCCCCTGGCACACTCTCCTGCCCTTCCCTCCACTCTGTTTGTGTTCAGTGGCCCCGATCTGTCACCTCTAACCTCCAGCAGTCCCTGCTCGGGCCAATGGGGCGGGTGTGTGTGTGGGCGGCTGGAAAGTGCAGTGAGATCTTCTCCACAGCGAATGCAGAGGAGGCACTGTTTCCTGGTTCTCAGAAGGTGCAGGGAAGGGTGGGGCAGCTGGAAATGAACATTCCTGACAGGGAAGGACATAGTGTTCTGAGCTCTCAGAGGCCTCCCCCCGCCAGCCCTGGCACAGGGGAGACCCCTGTCTCAGACGCCCATCTGGAAGGGCCCCCACCTTGAGTTGTCCCTGCCCTCCTCCGTGCCCCATGTGCAGGAGGGGCCCCCCTGTGGGCCTCAAGACCCCCAGCCGGGCGCTCCAGCCGCACATGGAGCGGCTCAGCTGCATGCTGGAGCCGGGACAGTGAGGGGTGCTCACTGCTGGCCGGGGCTGGGCCTGCAGCCGCTCTCCACCTACTGCTCCGACACCCGGGGCTTCGGCTCCCAGGCAGTGCAGGACTTGGCCTCGCCCTTGAGGGTCGCTGAGACCACCCACCATCTCTGGCCACAGCCTTGGTCTGTGCAGTCCAGTGGCCCAGGCCTGGGTCCCCAGAAGTGTTCCTGCCATGGCTGATCCCGCTTCGTCCTGGCGAGCAGGCTCCTCCCTGGGGCTCTGGCTGTCCCTGGGAGAGGTGACGGGCTCAGCCCCTGGGCACTGGCTCCCGATGCCACCGTGAGGACGGAGGCTGCCTGCAGTCTGACCTGAGGGGGAGCTGGGGGTGTCCGGGCCTCAGGGCATTGACAGGGACCCTGGGCTCTACCTGCCACCTGCCGCTCTGGATCCAGCACCCCCAGCCGGGCTCGGGGCAGCGTCCCTGAGGGAAGGGGCTTTGGGCGGGTTCTGAGCTGGTGGGTGGGCTGCAGCCTTGGCCATCCTGACGGAGAAGCCCCCTCAGGCCCTGGCCGGGCTGCCCGTCTGGGTGACGAAAGGGCAGGAAGTGGAGATGAGCAAAGCTTCCACGATGTGGCCACCAAACCCAGGTGCCCACCAGGTGCCGTGCCCCCCCCCCCCCCCCCCCCCCTCTCCTCCCGCCAGCGGGCCAGGCTCCACCCCAGCCACTCTCTTTGACCTTAAAAGGGATCTTCTAGCCTTTGGTGACTGTTGGATGTGGGGAGACTGATGGTGAGCCCCAAAGAATTTTAACTTAGGGCGGGGCAGTGCCCTGGATCACCAAGGAGTCACTGGGTAGACTCTTAAAGCCAGCGAGTAGAGTGGCCCATGCTCCCTGGTATGAATTATGGGAGGGGTAGGACAGGGTCTGCAGCATGAGCAGAGCAGGGCCAGGTGCCTGTGCTCTCTGCCCACCCCCACCCCTGTGCTCTCTGCCCACCCCCCACCCCTGTGCTCTCTGCCCACCCCTCACCCCCTGTGATCCCTGCCCACCCCTCACCCCCTGTGATCCCTGCCCACCCCTCACCCCCTGTGCTCTCTGCCCACCCCCCACCCCTGTGCTCTCTGCCCACCCCTCACCCCCTGTGATCCCTGCCCACCCCTCACCCCCTGTGCTCTCTGCACCACCCCCCACCCCTGTGCTCTCTGCCCACCCCCCACCC